ACAGAGGTGATCGGAAGGACAAATGTCCCATCTCAAGAAGTCGCCCTTTAAGCAACCCCAGATGATTGCTGTCATGGGGAATATGAATCGACTACTGTAAAATCAGCGCTTTTTTTTTTCTCAAAAGAATCTTGAAATTCAAATTTTTCTGTAAAGTTTTCAGTTTTAAAAATATTAAAAGGGTCAAGGAAACAAATTCTCAGGTCACACCTGACTCCAAAGGAAGGAGGGAGGGAGGGAGGGAGGGAGGGAGGGAGAAAACAAAGTGAAGGAAAATGCACATGAACTATATCTGGGGAGTGAGGCAAAGGACAGAGATGAACGCTAAAAGAACACAAGTCAGAGAGAAAACCAAATTCCCTCACACCTGGGAAGCCAAAATCAACAAGGTGACTAGAGTCATGTCCCAGGAACTCAGAAAAGCATTAAACAAAGACAATGGTCAACTGGATTTGGTGATCAGAACACAGTGGGTGACCTTCAAAGCATCACTTTCAACAGAATGAGAGGGACACCCACTCAGCTGCCGGAGATCCCGAGACGAGTAGGAGAATGAGCAGTGAGGATCGCAAATGACTCTTTCCAGAACTCAGAAGCCCACAACAGAAGGAATGTGGGGGAAGGTAGCATGGGGGTTACCAGGTCAACGAGTTCTCTCTTGTTGAACAGAAAGGTAAGTGGTGTTTGAAGATGAGGGGAAATGTGCTAGGTGCTAGCAAGAAAGAGGAGATGCTCTAGACAGAGGGGGTCGCTTGGCTAGGTCCCTAGGAGAATCAGAATGGCAGTCACTAGAAGGGGATCAAAGGGGCCCTGAGTGTTAATATTCTGATCGGTCCCTTCAAATCCCGCCCCTTGGTGCCACCTTGCGTAAAACCTCATTCTAAGGGAAAACTCCTCACTTCATTTCTTCCACTTTTCCTCCCACGAGGTGTGCACCCTTGATCTCTCTCACACTATCTCTGTTTCTTCTTCTTCTTCTTCTTCTTCTTCTTCTTCTTCTTCTTCTTCTCCTCCTCCTCCTCCTCCTCCTCCTCTTCTTTTGCCTCCTCCTTCTTCTCTCTTTCTCTTTGTCTCTCTCTCTCCTATCTTTCTCTTCATCTCTCTATTATAATAAACTCCCCACATGGATGCAGCATCTGGGGTGTGAATTACTGGCTGCTGCTACCATGACTACATGCATGCATCTGCCCAGCATGTTTCCCTGCACACACAGGATATCCTTGGGGGGGGGGTCCCACCACACCCTCACCCCACACACAATAATTCATAACATTGGTGCCCAACATCACCAGGCAATCCCGCGGCTTTCTCCTGCCCACCGGCAGTCTGAGGAGCTCTGGGATCCTGTACCACCTGCCATTTTTCAGGCTGGAGCACCGCTTGAAGACTCTTCACCCTACCAGACCAGTGAGATTCCTCCCTTCCCTTCTGGATAGTTTCCCACAAGTGAGGATTTGCCTGGTTTCACTCGCTGGTACCACGTGTCTTTCAGGCTCCTAGCCCCTCAGCCCCCGTCCCTATGCAAAGGCCTATGGAGACGGCCTGTGCCCTCTCAAGTCCACGGTCCATAGCCTTTGTGACCACAGTCCATTGGCTATTTTGTGCCGTTATCGTTGAACCTCTGGGATGCAGGAGGTCAGTCCATCCGCTGGGCCTTATATCTCGTTGTGGAAAAATGCGCCTATGGCCCCCTCTGCCCCCACCACTGCCACTGACCCACAGCTTGGGTTTGTTCCCCTGCAGCTGCTCACACCATGTGGCAGCCCGCCCGGGGTGGGGGGGGGGGTTCTCTCCCCCACCCCAGGGCATTGCTACTCCTCTGTCTTTATTTCACAGTCTATTTCCTATGTGTAAATGGAAATGTATGACTGATTTGGCCATCTATATTCCTTTCTGAGTGACTTTTAAATGCTTCAATTTATCTGCTCCTTATCTGCTCAGTTTATTTTGGGGAAAAAAAAAACATGAACACATGGTCAGGTGCCATATTTGATAGAGGCGATCACGTGATCAAGGCGCCATCTTAAATAAGGGCAACCACATGGTTTAGCTGCCATCTTGGCTAAAGTCAAAACAGGCAGGCCATATGACCTCACCACCATTTTTACTAAGGGCAGCATGGGCGGGGCACCTCACACTCAGGCCATCAGTATAGAGGGAGGTTAGGGAATCGCCTCCTGCTGTACATTGTTTGACCATTGTCTTCTGGGCAGAGGAAAAAGTTCTCTGGCCTTGGCCTCTCTCAGGCTCCAGCCGTCTGGGTGGGGCAGAAGTCCAATGATGGCCTGGCATTTGTTCCTAGGCAGCCACTCATGTGGACAGGGCCTGGAAACATATGCACTCCCCTCCGGGGCATCAGCAGAACCACATGCAGGCAGTATCATTATATTAAGATTTTAAATTTCAGATTTTAACGTTAATACAATTCTGATACACTTTGGGTCACAAGCTCAAGATCTGAAATTTTCCTTGGCTACTCAACTCCTGCTTTTCCACAATTTGGATTTCAGTACTGATTGATAACACTAATTTATCTACAACTTTTATTTTCCTCACTTGTCTATTCCTAAGGATGGTATTTTTATTTTTCTCTCTCCTGGTCTTGGGACTCCTGCTCTTCTCAATTACTAAGACCATGGGCCAAAAGGCTCCAAATAAATTCATACATTTTTAACTCCTGTCTCTAGTCTATATTTCAGCAGTCTGGCAGAAACATCAGAGCAGCAGTGTGGACCACAACCTGCAGCGCTTTCCCTGCTACGGATGTCAGCAGAGATTCTTGTCCATGTGATGTGAACCAGCCCAGACAATCCTAATTGTTCCCTGCATCTACAGCCAGGTCAGATGACCACATGCCTGGGTTCCCTCCTTACCTTTAACTAGCCAGCATCCTCCTGACCACCTGCGCCCTGTTTCAGCTTGAAGCAGCTGTGGAGAATACGTCATCCTGTGCTCCCTGTTCCCAGGACAAGCTGGAGGGTTATCTTAGGGATGGAAACCCTGACATAGAGTCCACCAAGAGGGTCCTTTTCCTTTTCTCAGAGGGTCCTTTTCTCAGAGTTGGGCTGCACCCAGACTCACAAGCCCCTTTTCTCCTGTTCCCATTTCACCTTGGGATCTTTCCCGTCACTCTTCTTTGCCTTCTCAGGAGACACCTTAAGAAATAATTATTTCTATATAAGTCATTCAGGATTATAATCTGGCGGTACTCAAAGATCAGAACTACAGCTACGGGAGCTTAAAAATAGTAATAGATTCAGATATCCCTGCCAACAGCTTAAAGAATGTCTCTCCTTACTCAAGGTCTATTCAGGCTTAAGAATGTAAAACCCCTTGTCCTAGTTAACTAACTGGGAAACCTGTATATTCAGATTTAAGTCATGTATATGCTCTCAAAGTTATAAATACATCTAACAAATTTTGTTGTCCCCCCCTTCCCCAGGCCTCAAACACCTGTAGAGACCTGAGAATATGGCATTTAATACAAAAACTTTTTATGATAGAGAGGCACGTCAGCCCCTGGCAGCATCCTGTGTCTCCTCCAAGAAGACAGATGGCTGAGGAAGAGCCTCCACCCGGAAGCTCATGGCAAGGCCGGCCACGCAGAGAGAAGCTGAGATCCTGTCCAGACTGAATAAGTGGAACAACGGAGGACCAATTGTAAAGTCAAGGTGGGTCAGGCTCCCCAAATTTCTACTTCACAGAAAAAAATCTGTCAGCTCTTCTGGGCCTATCAGCTGAACAAGTGCTGCCTCTGGGGCTTGTGTCCCCCCCCCATCGATGACCACAGAGAGACTTGGGATTGCTGTCTAGGTAGTTGGAAAGCTGTCTCACTTCTTCTTAAATTTATCCTTCTCAGATCTGATGATGTTTGATGACTAGGGTATCAGTTTAATAGCCCCAATCCCAAGATCATATATATATGCTCTCCAATTACAGACAGATATGCCTTATTCACAGACTTCATGATATAGGATAGACTGGTTTCAGATATAACTCCAGAGGTTCAAAGTTTTAATACTGATAAATGTAGCTTTGATAAGCTGATAGAGCATTGACTACAAAGAGTTCTCAAGAGTTCTTAAATGGATTTTTAGTCCTTTTGCCATGATGTGAATCCATTCCAGCTCTCTCACAGATACCTACAGGCTCCTGGGAAAAGTTTTGCTACCACATCAATAAATCTGGTCTGATGAAAACTAACAATCTCCAGAATCCATTTCTGACCTCACCTATTTTTCAAGCATATTTTGCAGATTCATTTTTCCCACCTGACCTCCAGAGAAATGGCAATACCATGGCTTCTATACTCCTGATTTGGCATGCCATTCCCCCCCAAGTTCCTGGAACACCACTGCTGTAACTTTCCTCCTCGAGGAATGTTCCTGAGATCTTCCATCATGCGTGACTCCTAGTTCCCCCTCCCCACTTCGCCCCTTGTCGGCTTGAAGTAGCCTCAGGAATTCAGTGCCCCTGTTCCCCCACTTTCTCCCATAACTCACCTCTTTTTATAATAATCAAAATGGAAGAATGTTAATACTCTGATCTGCCCCTTGAAATCCCACGCACCCCTTGGTTCCACCCTGAGTCATGATGTAAAAGCCTCATTCTAAGGAAAAACTCCACCCCATCATTTCTCTCTCTCTCTCTCTCTCTCTCTCTCTCTCTCTCTCTCTCTCTCTTCCACTTTTTCTCCCAACAAGGTGCACACCCTCTCTCTCTCCTTCTCTCTCTTTCTCTCTGTCTCTTTCCCATCTTTCTCTTCATCTCTCTGTTATAATAAACTCACCATGTGGATGCAGTGTCTGGGTTGTGAATTACTGGCTGCAGCCTCCATGACCACGTGGTGTGCATCTGCCCAGCATGTTTCCCTGCACATTCGGGATATCCTCGGGCGTCCCTCCCCGACACAATAATTCATAACACACTGAGAAGGTTTGGAGAGGAGGAACATGCAGTGGCAGGGAAGGAGACAGAGGACTTAGCACCACACCACTTACCAAGCACTCTAGTACCGAGACACCAGGTGGTGGGGAAGGCAGAACCGCTGTGAAGCCTCAGAAGGCAGAGGAAGTCAGCACTGGGAGGTACCGGGACAGCAGTGGCCTGGGGTGGGTCAGAGGACAGCTACATGAAGACCCTGCTCCAGTCAGAGGGTGGAAGCTGGGTGGACTGAGGCACTCTCCTGCAGAGCCTGTGAGCTGGGGTCAACAGGCTGGGCAGCGTGTCAGGAAGGCCAGCTTAACCAGGGCAGCTTGTGCCCTTCGGTGCCGTGGGGGCTCCAGCAAAGGCTGAGGGGCAGGTACAGCCCACAGGCTCCATAACTGACACCACAGTTTGTGGTGGACAGCCATGATGCTCCTACTGTGTCTCACACTATGTACACAGGAAGACCTTAGGAAAGTGACGGCTATGACGCCCTCAGTCTGAGTGAAGCATAAGGGCTGACGTTTCTTTTTGTTGTTGTTGTTTTATTTAAGAATTGTTTTTATTCATTTTTACATACCAACCACAGATCCCCCTCTCATCCCTCCTCCTGCTCTCCCTTATCCTTCCCCCCTCAACCCACCCCTCATCCCCTCCTCCAAAAGGGTAGGGGCTCCTATGGGGAGTCAGCAAAGCCTGGTACATTCAGTTGAGGCAGGACCAAGCCCCTCCCCCCTGCATCAAGGCTGAGCAAGGCATTAGGTAATGGGCTCCAGAAAGCCAGCTCATGCACCAAAGATAGATCCTGATCCCACTGCCAGGGGCCCCTCAAACAGACCATGCTACACAACTGTCTTCAAAAGGGTTGACATTTCTAATAAGCTGTTGGGTGATGGCAAAGTTGCTGGCCATGGACCACTCTAATAAGAGTATTTCCAGGACTCACACTGCTCACCAGCCACAATGCTCACACTAACATGCTTATGAGATCTAGCAAAAGCTGATTATACTTGGGGGGCTATAGTCACTTGAATATGGGTGGTGCTCCCCAAATGTTGGTATCAAAGGTTTACACCCCCAAGCTGGCACTATTAGGAGGTGGTGGAATCTTTTGAGGGTTAGGGGGTGGATTGTGGATGGCCTTTGGATCATTGACGTGCTTTCAAATGGGCCTCTCTTCCTGCTTCCTCCTCATGAGGTAAGCAGTTTGCTCCACAAGTTCCTGTCATGAAGTCCTGGTTTGTCACAGGCCTGAAGCCACAGGAGCACTTGGTCTTAAACTGCCATCTTCAAAACTGTGAGCTAAAATAACCCTGCTCTCTCTGTAAGTGGGTTGCTGTAGGAACAGAGATCTGACTGATACAGGAATCCACGGAGGGATAAAGCCCAAATGAGGGAAGAGGCAAAAGGCATCCCCAACATGATATGCGCTGAGTTTAAAAGAACGAGAAGGTCCAGCCCCAAGTAAAAGTCAGGGAGGAATGACTAAAAAGAGCAAAGAGAAATGATGCACCGTGACTGGAGGAAGTCTCACAGCCTCAAGAAGGGTCACCCTCCTCTGCAGAACCTTCCCGGCACCCACTGCTGCCGCCAAGGGAAATTCAGTTACCACCCTTCCCCCTCCTTCGCTACAGTGAGAGTGTGGGGCTCAATACCTCGCATATCCAGCACAGAACACGCAGGCAGGAACCAGAGATCTCGAGAGAGACAGGGGGATGGGAGGCAAAGGTGCTGAGCCACCGGAAACAAGTATTGATCAGGGTGATTTGAGATTTAACACAACCAGTCATACATGCTACAGAGCTTGGCTGTGTGTGTAAGATGCGTGCAAAGTACGGCTACCCCAAAGTGGCCAGTGACAGGGGATTGAAAGGGCAGGGCTTAGCCCTGTAGCCTGCACCTCTGTCCATGTAAATGTTTACACGGGGAAAACTCAGCATGCCGGCGGCTGCCACCATGTTCCTCAGCCCCGCTGTGCACGGGAATGTCCCTCATTCAGTGACTCTCTAAAGGGGTTAATGCCATTAAAGCAAAGAGTGCACGTACTGCTCTAGATTAAAGGAGACCGTGGAAACATGACAGCTTGATGCCATGTGTGATTCTTGATTGAACCATGGATTAAACAAACTATAAAGAAAATTATTGGGAAAATAGTAGACTTTGAATAAGAGGCGTAATTCAATGACATCTTAACTTCTTCAGTGTGATCATAATACTTCTGTTATCCTGGAGAATGTATGTAGGGATGAAAAACCATCACGAGTACAATGAAATGATCCAACAAAAATAAAAAATAAAAAAAAATGTGTGCTAAACACACAGGATGTCGGGGCAGGGAAGAGCCCACGAAGCAGGTGTGGCTGTTGCTAAGGAACTGTGACTCCTGGTGAGACAGTATCACACTTCATCATTACACGCTTTCAACACTCCCCGATATTGTTCAAAATCAAAAGTTAAGAGAGGCTCTCTGGGGTTCGAGTGCAGACGCTCCTATTGTGCACTGCAGACCTCAGCTCCTGGAGGAAGCCTCTGTCCGCTTTCAGAGTCTTTGCTTTGCCGGGGAGATTGAAAGGAGAATGCTCAGCTCTGTAGCTATACTGTCCTTGACAGAGCGACCCTTCTCCTCCAAGCTGCCACTTCTAGGTAAGATGAGGCTCTTCATTTGCTCCTCTTCGAGGACTCGGAGGAGTGCCAGCTGCATCTTGTGGGTGAATCCAGCTGACTCACCTGTCGTGACTATCAACTGGATTTTGTATCATCTAGAAAACACATTTCTTGATGTGTTTGTGAAGGCATTTCCAGAGGGAATTAATTGAGGGATGACCACCTGTCCTCCACGAGGGTGTCACACTTCCCATGGGTGGCTCAGATTATAAAGAGGTCCACAGTAAAAGTGTGGGCTCCTGTCTTCCCCTCCCTTTTTCTTTCTGAATGAATCCATCTATCACTACTGCCGCCCCCATGCTGACATCAAACTTCAGCCTCTTCCATTGTCTGAATATTGACATATTACCATACCAGAGACTGTCCAAGGAGAATACGGGCTTTCTGCACTGGATCAGGGTTGCTGAGGTGTCCAGCTTCTTGGCCTGAGCAGTGATTAGGTTCTCTGCTTTTCTATCAGGTAGATGGCCATTGTTGAACCACCCAGCACCTATTATCATAAAGCAATCTAATAGAGTGCATGTGCGCGTGCGTGCGCGTGCGTGTGCGTGCGTGTGCGTGTGTGCGCGTGCGCGTGTTTGGTTCAGTTCTAGAGAACTCTAATACACCACCCCAGGCAGCACTGACCATCTACCCTTCCACCTACCACCTTGTCCCTTTTCTACCCTGTGAGTACTCTAGGTGTGGCCCATCCGACTGCCCTCTGAACAGCAGTCCAAGCCCTCAGCCCACTTCAGGTGCACCCTGGAAAGCACAGGAATTGTGGGCATTGGCCAATCCGTTGAAGGTGGCCTCCTCCATGACCTGAGTGGCACTCTTGTCCACCGCCATTCTTTCTTCGCTCTGAGTATGCTGGGGGCTGATGTGGGGAACCCCAGAGCAGCACTCAGGTGAGCTGAGGAGAGCACTCTGCAGGGGCTCCCTCTGTTCTGCTTAAACACTTACTGTGGATGGGGCTGGCTGGTCACAGAGTACTAGGGTCCTACAGAACCAGGGAACGAGTCTATGTATAAAATAATGAGGCTATTTTTTGCCTCCTGAAAAAAAAAAAAAAAAAAAAAAAAAAAAAAAAAAAAAAAAAGACAGTAATTTCCGTCTTTCAGGACACAAATTGCTCCAGAAGTGATTCTAAGCTCAAAAACTGGGTAGGAAGAATGAAAATTGGGGAAGGACTGGGTGTGGCTATTGCCAGGCCCACATAGTTACCAACCGTGGTGAGAAACATGAGAGCCAAGGGTTCTCTGGGGTGCTGTTTCGCAAACACTGCTGCACACAGCAATCATTTGGGCAGCTTTAAAAGGACCCATGCTGGGTCCCATCCTCAAAGACTCTGCCTTCGTGGGTTTGGGTAAAATTCTGGCCATCAGGATTTGTTATGCTCCCCCAGGGGACTCTAATACACTACAAGGTTTGAGGCTCTCTGCTAAGCCAGACTCATAATTCACATTCATTAACACCCTTGCTGCCCTGTGGGGTTCATTTGGGCCGCTAGCATGCTTAACCTTGGCTAGTATTTCTCCCCTCCCAAGGGCAGTGCCAAATGGGGTGTGTGGACACCAGACCATTGTCTCATAAAAATCTCCTGCCCCTCTAACAGGCAGAGGCACTGAGCTGGTGCAGTAGGGAGCCCTCAGGTCAGGGGCAGGCTGGGGAGGTGTGTGTATGGGGGGGGCGGGTTCTTCAATTTTGCTATCAGGTTCCTCGGAGCCAGCTGGCTGCTTCACAAAATGCTGTGTTCAGACCTCAGTTTCCAGTTCTGCAAAGGGGTTTGGGAGTGGGAATTAAAAGTCAACCCTGATGGGGTTGTTTCTACAGGCCTAGGACAGTGTGGGAAAAGGCTGCTTCCTGAGAGGAAGTCAAGTTTTCACTGATTTCCAGGGGAGGGAGGGAGTGAGGGAGGGAGGGAGTGAG